CAGTTGGGGATCTCATGTATATACTTGCGACATATCTCTGTACCCGATATTGGGTAGAATTTTTTATAAGATTTTTTTGGGAATCTTTTGCATGTATATGCTTGTATAATTATTACACTTTGCTATTTGCTTTTTGTTTATTCTATTCCAGCCAGGTTTTTTCTGTATATACTCATGTTTTTTGCTGGATTTTCACCACAATGCTCTTGCACCACCCCAATTATAGAGAGGGTTATTTCAGAACTTGCGGCAATTGACAACAAGACTCCACAGGGAGCCCATGACCCAGGGTACTATAACTAGGCTATTATATGACAGTATATATAAGTCCGTAACTGATTAATAAAATCATTATCTATCACCTTAGAGGATAGGGCTTAATTGCTTTTGACACCTAAGATATGTGCCAGAGAGCATAGAGGTGTTTTTGATAAATAAAACACAAAGTGACAAAAACTATTGGGACAATTAATATGGTTATCATGATATTTTGATATTAACAATTTAGTACAGATAATTAAACAGGTATAAGCAGTCTTGTACAAAAATAATACTCCCCTAATCGGTCACAAGGGTCAGACAAGGCACTTTGCAATGGAAGACGTGAATCAGGATTTGATTAGTATCATTTTGTGGGGCCCCCTCACGTAATATTCAACAAGCGTTTCTCTTGCATAGTCTCAACAATTTCTCTTTTGACGGCTGTACAGCATTTAATCTGTTTTAAAAACAATAAATTCATAGACAATAGACATATCACAAAACACACCTAATTATTACAAAACATAGAATTTATACTCAACAAACATTGCAATATAACGCTTGTTGTCATCCCACAAAACAGAAAACAAGACATAGTAGATACACAGAATAGAGGTGGCAATGCAAAAACCACATTCATTGATGTTCAAATGAACTACAACTAATCCCCAAAAAAGTTAATAAAATAAGATAATAAAGTTCACACTCTGTGTCCTTCATAGGAAAAATTGAACATCACAATAAGATAAAATATAGGTTTCTATGCTTAGGGCATATTCATTTATTTTTCTACAAAAGGTAATTAATATAAATTAACCATGCTGCAGATGTACAAAAAATAAATGAAAAAAAGGGAAGTCTGATAATATTGCAATCACAACTTCTGCTGCATTCTGTAGATTAGACCACAGAGCTGTTAGACCAACTTCAACTTCCATTGCTAGCGAGAAACAGTTATTTAATAGGTTATTAGGCTAAAATTTCTACCTATGTCTACAGATTGATTGAAATATGTTTTAAAAACAACACAGCAACAGGAATACTCCACATCAAATATTCTATTTGCCAGTTAAGCTGCACACTTCATAATTGGTATCCAAACCACACAAATTAACACAGTGACCATAACACACAGACAACATGGGTAGCAACTTGTAAGGTGTACCATTTCATGTGATATCTAATTTTTGCTAATATGCAGGCTCACTAAATGTCGCTAAACACAAAACTGAAAAAAATCAGTTACCGTCAATCACTTTACTAATTTAGTAAATGGGTAGAAGCAATTCCTATGCCCAAAGAAAATTCCCAGACTGTCGCTAAGATACTGTGTAAAGATATTATTCCACCATTTGTGTGATAAACACTGACAAGGGAACCACTTTTACACCAGCCCTCATACAATCTATTTGTGAAATGCTATGTATTTATTAAACATTTCACATCCCCTACCATCCACAATCATCTGGTTAGAAAGGATGACTAGAACTATTAAGGGCAAACTGAGAAAGGGAACAGGTTGGACTTTCCATAATTAGCCTGATTGCTTACCTATAGTCCTTGAAGAAATTAGGATAACAATATGCCGTCTTTGTACCTGGAATTTAACTTTTGAATTTGAGCATTCACAGTGGGCTTCAAAAAGAGGACATCTCCTCATGTAAAAAGTGCCATATAAAAAGTTTTATTAAGGATTAAAAAGTGTGCTTACAGAATTGGTGCTTAAAATAACTCTAATATTGCTGCTGTGGTCCATGCTGAGAAGATATTCAACTCCACTGCAGGCTCTCTCTCCCATTCTTGGCATCTCTTGGCATCACTGTTAACAAAACCCCTTATGTGAATTGCAGCATGCTTAGATAACCCCACCCAGACTGGGTTTAAGGCAAGAATGGAGGAAAAAAGGACAGTTTCAAGATTAAGTCGTGCTAATGTGCAGAACCATGCTTAGAGTGTTGGTTGCCTGCACATGGTGATAGAGTGCCCTGTGAAAAGTTCAATGTAAATAGGTTATTTGGTACAATACTGTTCATCAATTTAAGGGTTATTTATCTTTAAGTGTCACATACAGGGTTTTGTTAACAGTGATTTTGGTTTGATAGAAGCTCTGACCGTATACCCTCAAAACGTACTTGCCTGTTAACAAGTCAGCCCTGATTTGCAACCAGTGGTAACCTTGATAGATTGTGTCAATTTTGGAATATATTTATATGAAGACGACTTAAGCATTCTACAGTTTAAAGGAGGGGGCTTAGTAACAGTGATCTTGGTTTAAGAGACTATTTGGCTGCTTAGCTGAAAGTTTATATGCTTGTTACAAAGTTAGCCCCTGTGGCGAAAGTAACCTCACCACTTCCTGTTTGCCAGCCTCCTGCCCTGCGACTATGGCCCTGGGATGTATTGCCCTTCTAGGAACTGATGTGGGCATACTTGATTTTATTATGCTGCTGCTGGCCCTTTAAGAACCATCTGGGGACATACTGTGGAGTTAATGGGTGGCCACCATTTCATGTATCAGAGGCACATGGTGAGAACAATGGATGAAGCACATGGTGAGAACAATGGATGGCGGCCATTTTAACTCACAGACACTGTTTGGACTTTTCTACACGGTGCCATCTCGCCGGTATTTGGTGCATAAAGACATCGTGCAGTAGTTTTAAACTATAGAACAGGGGACACATTTAACAGTAATTATTTTTCATATAGCCTGTATATGTTCTGCGGAATCTGCATTAAACTGTATCTTCCAAACTACTGAACGGATCTGGGTGAATTTTGGATATGTGGTTATTGCATGTTTTGGGGTCCCTGTGGTATTATATGGTTTATAATACTGTATTTCTCTGCCTGTGATAATTATATTAACCATTGTGTTCAGTAATCATACCACAGGCAGAGGGGAGGATTTTGTGTGAGAGTGTCTGTGCGTATTGTATGGATTGATTGGTTGTATTTCAAAACCCTGTGGGCAGTACTATGTTTGTGGATTGTGAATAAAAGAGGCTGCATGTGCCAGTACAGTCAGTTCTACTTCACCCTCAATTTGGAGTGCCGTCTCTTATTGGGGGAATCTGCTACAAGGGATTGCTATGCTCTGCATACTCTCTTGCTTTATTCACTGCTAAGCTCTTGTAAGAGCGTGTTCCTGTTTTGTTCTCTGGAGGCGTCTACGGTGGTTATGGTGTCTGCTGCAGTGTTTGGAGTCCTCAGGAAGTGCTAGGAGCATCCTTCAATAGAGATACCCATTTGAGGTGCCAGGTGATCCGTTACAGCCCCTATTTGCAACTTTTGGCAATCTGGAGATATTGTGTCAATTCTGCAATATTTGAAACACACACTATCCAGTATATAGCCACATTGTATGGTCTTTTTTCAAGGTTCCAGACAATGCCTTTACTTCACTCACCCTTATAAGAGGACCGGTATTCCAAGACAAATAAGGTGGCGTTATTCCTCTAAGAAGACTTTACTGTGGCTACTTTTTTTCTGAGGATTCATACTCATTATGGGTTCTAGGCAAGGCTTTAGGTATATAGTTGTATATATTTATACACTTTAAATTTTTTATTACTTTTCAGACATTGACCGTGCCTAATTGAATTAAAGTCTGGAGTCTGAGTTAGTAGTGATATCCATATAGACCTAATGGTTGGAGGTTAGCCATTTGGCTTTAGTAATTCTCTATCTGTTTCTGACTGTTTATTTTGGGAACACGTTTATATACCTATACCGTTCTATTTACTATCATTTATTTATCTGACATATTATCTTCTATTTAGTTAGACTTCCAGTTGATACTCTTGTGTTTGGACTTATCCAGCACTATGAGGATCTTTTTGTAGTTAACACAATGATGCATGCTATACAAATTGGAAAGCATGAATGTTGAATGGGGATGGGGCCAAAAAGTAATCGTGGTAATGATATAAAGAGTACTGAAGCTAGGCTGTCTAAGTTCAGAGTTCACACTACACAGTCAGGGCCACATATATAGAGTGAATGTGCCTGTGTGAGTTGAGCACATGTCTGTGTGCATATATATGTGTATATGTATATAGCTCTAATCAATATTATTCAACTTCCATTAAAAATCAGGTTTATTGACAAAATGTACAAAATTTCAGCTGTTTGCAATGAACAACGAATACTTCTTGTAATTTTCACAAATTTAAGAGGAAATGCATTTTCTCAAAATTATTCAAGTGTTTGAAAGGGGCTGAATAATTTTGATTACAACTGTATATCTCTGTGTGTGTGTACAGCAGTATGTACTTGTACCAGTTTGGATATAGGGAGCAGCATGTGCAGTAGTGTGTGTAACAGTGTAGGTGTGGCTACATAATAGTGAGTATGTATCTGCCATGATTTATTGAGATGCCCATTTTGGTCCCAGTCCTCCCTCTCTGATAGAGATCGCTGTATTCAGTTTGAGAGGGTATGACCATGCATTAATCAGGCTCTCTCAGACTTAACAAGTGATCCCAGAGTCCTGCAACCTCAGAGATGGCAAGGCATTAGGGGCAAAGTAGACAGGCACAGAGTAATAGACAGAACTTGGGAAGTCCATAATAGACATACAGTTGCAAGAAAAAGTATGTGAACCCTTTGGAATGATATGGATTTCTGCACAAATACGTCATAAAATGTGATCTGATCATCATCTAAGTCACAACAATAGACAATCACAGTCTGCTTAAACTAATAACACACAAAGAATGAAATGTTGCCATGTTTTTATTGAACACCCCATGTAAACATTCACAGTGCAGGTGGAAAAAGTATGTGAACCCCTAGACTGATGACATCTCCAAGAGCTAATTGGAGTGAGATGTCAGCCAACTGGAGTCCAATCAATGAGATGAGATTGGAGGTGTTGGTTACAGCTGCCCTGCCCTATAAAAAACACACACCAGTTCTGGGTTTGCTTTTCACAAGAAGCATTGCCTGATGTGAATGATGCCTCGCACAAAAGAGCTCTCAGAAGACCTACGATTAAGAATTGTTGACTTGCATTAAGCTGGAAAGGGTTATAAAAGTATCTCCAAAAGCCTTGCTGTACATCAGTCCACGGTAAGACAAATTGTCTATAAATGGAGAAAGTTCAGCACTGCTGCTACTCTCCCTAGGAGTGGCCGTTCTGTAAAGATGACTGCAAGAGCACAGCGCAGACTGCTCAATGAGGTGAAGAAGAATCCTAGAGTGTCAGCTAAAGACTTACAAAAGTCACTGGCAAATGCTAACATCCCTGTTAGCGAATCTACAATACGTAAAACACTAAACAAGAATGGATTTTATGGGAGGATACCACAGAGGAAGCCACTGCTGTCCAAACAAAACTTTGCTGCACATTTACAGTTTGCACAAGAGGACCTGGATGTTCCACAGCAGTACTGGCAAAATATTCTGTGGACAGATGAAACCAAAGTTGAGTTGTTTGGAAGAAACACACAACACTATGTGTGGCGAAAAAAAGGCACAGCACACCAACATCAAAACCTCATCCCAACTGTGAAATATGGTGGTGGGGGCATCATGGTTTGGGGCTGCTTTGCTGCGTCAGGGCCTGAACGGATTGCTATCATCAAAGGAAAAATTAATTCCCAAGTTTATCAAGACATTTTGCAGGAGAACTTAAGGCCATCTGTCTACTAGCTGAAGCTCAACAGAAGATGGGTGTTGCAACAGGACAATGACCCAAAGCATAGAAGTAAATCAACAAAAGAATGGCTTAAACAGAAGAAAATACACCTTCTGAAGTGGCCCAGTCAGAGTCCTGACCTCAACCCGATTGAGATGCTGTGGCATGACCTCAAGAAAGCGATTCACACCAGACATCCCAAGAATATTGCTGAACTGAAACAGTTCTGTAAAGAGGAATGGTCAAGAATTACTCCTGACCGTTGTGCACGTCTGATCTGCAACTACAGGAAACGTTTGGTTGAAGTTATTGCTGCCAAAGGAGGTTCAACCAGTTATTAAATCCAAGGGTTCACATACTTTTTCCACCTGCACTGTGAATGTTTACATGGTGTGTTCAATAAAAACATGACAACATTTCATTCTTTGTGTGTTATTAGTTTAAGCAGACTGTGATTGTCTATTGTTGTGACTTAGATGATCAGGTCACATTTTATGACCAATTTGTGCAGAAATCCATATCATTCCAAAGGGTTCATATACTTTTTCTTGCAACTGTACATCTGTAGGCAAAATTCAGCCCTCTACACAGTGCAATTGTCTACTGATGTCCTCACACCTCTGTTGTTAAGTGCATTTCTTTGGTGTCTCCAGAACCGGGAAACAAGAGGAAACAGGACAGGGACACAAATTGGTTATTGTCCAGCAAAATCAGAGCTAGTGGGAGGTTTTATATTATAGTTCAAGTCTCAGTTTGATTTGCTTTAGAACTGTTATACTATGATCATAGTTAAACAGTGTTCCCATACTAAACCTTTAAGCTCATGTGATCTTTCTTCTGGAACCTAAAAATCTGTAGTCAACAAAAAATGATTCCTTAGCAATCAGCAAAATATTTATAATGTGAAATTGCTAAACCCCTTGGAAAAACAAACTTTCATAACAAATAAATATATACACCATTTATTTAATAAGATTAAAAAGTAGAGACAGTGTTACTTGCTGCTCTATTTCTAGATATTTTGAAGAATTATGTCTTTCATTTTATGGTTCAGTTTTTGCTTATTGTATATGTGTAAACATTGTAAACATCCTGTCACAGGGAGCGAGAGAAAGGTTAAGCAAGTCACTTATTAAAAACAATCCTTCTAGTCTGTCCTCTCATTCAGCCTGTGCATCTGGTGACTATGAGATGCGTTTGTTAAAAGAACACTATAGTGTTAGGAATGCAAACATGTATCCCTAACACTATAGTGTTAAGTTAACTGTTTAAGTTCCTGGCATCCTGTGTGGAGTTAAAAGGTAATTTTACTTACCCTTTCTCCCTCGCCACACAGTCTCTCTGCAGCTGGACCTGCCTCATGAATCCTGATGACAGTTGCATATTTACCACTCTAGGGGGCCTGACCGTAGCTGTGACCCCTGCGACCGTGGCATGCCGGCATTACTTCATGGCCGGTGCACAGCCGCGGTTGCCATGTGTCCAGCTGGAGAGGAGCTATGCACTGTGCTGCTCCACTCCTTAAAATATCTGTGTGTAACATGTTCAAGCTTTCCGACAGGAAGTGTTTACTGAAGGGGATGGAATGAGACACTTGGAGGGGTTAGGAGAACGAATGAGAAACATGGAGGGGTTGGGTAGGATGAGACACATGGATGGGCTTGGGGGGATGGGACACATGGAGTGGCTGAGGGGGACAGTAAGACACATGGGAGGGAATGATACACATGGAGGGGCTGGGATAGAGAAGGAGGGGCAGGAGGTAAGACTCATGGAGGAGCTGGGGGAGGAGAATGAGACACCACAGGATGGGGTGGTAAGGGCATTTTTCGCACTCGGGCCCTATGATTTATAATTACGCCTCTGTGTAACTAAGAAAGTTTCAGGAGGCTATTGCACATGCACGTTGTGCCAATCAACATCTCCTCATAGAGATGAATTGAATCAAGCAGAGCGTGGAGATGCTGAACATAGGTGCACACTGTGCTGAACTGAGATAGGAAGCACCTCTAGTAGCCATCTTGAGTGACTGCCACTAGGGGTGTGGCATTGGAAACACTGCTTTTTCTCTGAGTTTATAACTTTAGAGATTTACAGAACCCAACACTACACATTCTAATGTATTGAGGGTTTCCACTGCCTAACATCTACTTCATAGTCTTTGGGCAGAGATCCCTGGAGGAACATGAAAACCATGAGGAACTTTGAAAGTGTTTTTTTTTTTGTTTTGTGTTTGCAATATAAAATGGCATGAACTGCAGACTTGAGTGTCCCTGTGATCTTATGATAAGAAAGACTAGAATAATTTTGCTTCCTTGTTGGTATTTAAAATATTATATAACATTATTTCATTATCCTCATACAAACTTAGAAATATAGACACTAAAAAATGTATTGTGGTGAAACAAGCATCTACTATATTGCCATATGGCAATGTATTAAATGAAAATGAATCTCTAGTGGTCCAGTGGAGCTATATAATCCAAACACATGCTCTAGCAGGTGCAGATCACTTTAAATGCTCAGTTCCTGTGATTAGTGAGTGACTGACTCATCACCGAGTACCGAACCAGGGTGTGATCTGCAGGAATTTTTGACACACACCATATTTATTAAATCTAAATTAATTTTTTTCCTCTTTTGCTGCTTGTATGCCCTAATTGTCCTGTTGTAAAAATATTCAAAATATATTCAAAAATATTTTTTTCTGTGACCATAAGGATTTATAAATAGAAAAATGTTTCCCTTTTCTTATTTCCACCATTTTAAATTTGACAGTCTTGTAGAATGGAAATCTTTGCAAAAACTGTAAAAAAAAAATACAAACAAATTAATGTGGGAATTTAACCATGACTTTCCAGAACACTTAGCTAAATCTATCCCAGATAACTAAATCGTACCACCCAATTCTGGCAATCCAAGAATCGGCATGCCAGTGGGAGGCAGGTAAATGGGGGCCGAGCCAGGCTGCCTATCAATCCAACCGGCCATCCCACCGACAGCATACCCTGCATGGAGCTCTGTTTCAGTACTCTCTGCAAATTCTTAGTGCCCTGAACATAGCACAAGCGCATCTAATGATGCGCTTTCACTGTGCTAATTAGGGACATCAGGGAACTATATAATTAACATTTATATATTAACATTTTCTAATGGTTTTACAGTTTTTAATTATAATGATATATATTTTTTAATATTTTGGGGGCAATTTTTTTTTTTTTTTTAAAGATTATCCAAAAATATCAGATGATTTGGAAAGCTTATAAAAAGCCAGCAAGGTGATATGTGCACACAGAGATCTTTAATTTACCTTCTAATCACTTATATCTTTAGTAGCCAAAATAGAAGGAATTTTTTTATCTCCTGTATATAAAAGAAATGGTACAGCACATAGTGTAACCTTATTAACAAACAGGTAACCCAGGTGGAACAAACCACCAGAAGAGTTCACTTAGTGGAGCGCTATAACACTAAGTGAACTCTTCTGGTGGTTTGTTAATACTATTTGTGTGTAAATTTGGGGGTATTTACATGTGTTGAGCTGCTGTTCATTCACCCACAGCTATTTTGTCAATGCACTAAGCGCCCCTTGCACACAGAGTACCTTCTTTATATTGTCTTACATACTGTAATCTGTATATAAAATCTGTATATAAAATGTACATATATGTAAAAATTCTCAGAAAACTCACAATTTTGAGAGTCCATTAAAAGTTGGCTTTGAATTTGTAGTGCTTGTCATCCTGGTCAGGCTCCTCCCAGCCCGGCCCACAACATCCTGTTGACTGAACTTCCGCCCAGTAAAATTAACCCGCCTCATTCTCCTTACCTTACTACCCCTAGACCGGAACTTACTATTAAACCGCCTTGCTGAAGTCCTATATTAACCCGACAGATGACTGGTACCCTTCAACCCCGACATTACCAAATGCCCCTCCGACTTACACCGGGCCCAATACACATTGATGAAAATGGTCAAATACAATGTGCAGATCCTGTGTTTGTCTATGTCCCCTTCACCACAACTGATCTATTCAATTGGAAGACTCATAACTCTTCGTATACCGACAAACCTCAAGTCATGACAGATTTGGTTACCTCTATTATACAAACACACAATCCCACCTGGGCCGATTGTCAGCAATTATTATTAATTTTATTTAATTGTGAGGAAAGGACCCAGATTAATCAAGCGGCTATTAAAGCGCTTGAGGAAACGGACCGTACTCAGAATCAGGCCAATCCAGCTGCATGGGCTGCAGCCCATTATCCAAATGTTGACCCAAATTGGAATGTGAATGGTGCTAACATGCCCCAATT